AAAAAAAAAAAAAAGAATCTTCACCTTGGTGGGAGGCCAAGGTGGGCAGATCATCTGAGGTCACAAGTTCAAGACCAGCCTGAGCCAGAGCAAGACCCAATCTCTAAAAAATAGCTGAGTGTTGTGGCAGGTGCCTGTAGTCCCAACTACTTAGGGTCTGAGGCAAGAGGATCACTTGAGCCCAGGGGTCTGAGGTTGCTGTGAGGTATGATGTCATGGCACTCTAGCAGGGGCTACAAAGTGAGACTCTGTCTCAAAAAAAAAAAAAAAATGAGAATCTTCACTTTGGGAACAGGATTGTTGATACATACAGAATGCCCCTTTGCCAGTAGGGGTGCCCTCTGCAAGTCTTGGAACCAAGCTACTGCGTTTTTACAGTCCACAGCAGAGTGGGGGCAGTTCTTCACCCTGGAATCTGAGAGCTGAGCAAGTGTAGTGCTGCATACCAAGTGCTGAAAGGTTACTGAGTGAGCAAAAGTGGAATGAATGTGTATTTTAAAGGCCACTTGTTCCTATTCAAATGTGAGTTGGAAGGGAAGGAGGCCCGGGCCTTGAGACCATTTTCAGTTCTGCTATTTGAATAACAACATCCTTGTTCAAGTGGCAGCAACTAAAACCAGTAAAGCCCTTATGGAACTTCAGCTCAAACTAGCTCTGACTAAATTTTCTTCAGAAAAGGATCTACAGGACAATATGAATATGTTAGATGACATTTTTTAATGGTTTAAAATAAAAATTTTAAAACACCCACAAATCAGATTCAAGGTAATTTCTACTTCATTGTACAGTATATTGGCTCTGCAATCTACTATTTTACCACAGTGTTTTAGAAAGAACATAGTCTTTGAAGATTTACTGATCTGGACTCTATACTTTATTGTATTGCTTTGGCAGATCATCTAATCCTTCTAACCCTCAGTTTATTCTTATGTCAACCAGGAAATAAAAATCCTCCTTGACAAGGTTAATACATTGCAGGATAGTAAGGATTAACTGAGAAAACATAAAATTGCCTAAAAGTAAAGGGGCATTCAATTAATAGTTAATGTTGCATCCTCCCACTACCAACTCTACCTATCACAGCAGAACTCAGTAAATGTTGCTTATAAAAAAACTTAACGAGCCAGGTGTGGTAGCTCAGGCCTGTAATCCTAGCACTTGGGAGGCCAAGGCAAGTGGATTGCCTGGTGTCATGGGTTCGAGACCAGCCTGAGCCAGAGCAAGACCTCATCTCAAAAACTTGCCAGGCGTTGTGGTGGGTGCCTATAGTCCCAGCTCCTTGGGAGGCCTAGGCAAGAAAATCACTTGAGCCTGAGGGTTTGAGGTTGCTGTGAGCTGTGACACCAGATCCCTCTACTAAGGGTGACAAAGTGAGACTGTCTCAAAAATGATAAAGAAACGCCTCCATGCCCGTAGCTCAGTCCTGAAGGCGCCAGCCACATACACCAAAGGTGGCGATATCGAACCCAACCCGGACCTGCCAAAACAACAGTGACAACTACAAAAAAAAAAAAAAATAGCCAGGTGTTATGGTGGGCGCCTGTAGTACCAGCTACCTGGGAGGTTGAGGCAAGAGAATCGCTTAAGCCCAAGAGTCTGAGGTTGCTGTGAGCCGTGATGCCACAGCACTCTACCAAGGGTGACCTATTAAGACTCTGTCCTCCCCCCAAAAAAGAAAGAAAGAAACTTAACATTCTTTTAATGATTGACCATAACCCAACTAGAGCCATTTTCTCTGTTATAAAGAAAGGGAAATTCCTTGAACTTAACAGAGAAAAGCAACAGAAACAAAACAGAGAGTAATGTAATACAAAAGCCCAGGTCTCTACAGAAAGAGCTGAAATCTGGGTTTACATTTTCCTCCACTCTGGGGAACTTCTGGGGTGTCGGTAGTGACCTATTTCTTCACCATGGTAGTGGTTACAAGGGTGTGTTCACAGTATAATAATTCATCGAACAATACACCTAAGATTTGTGCACTTTCTATATGTATATATTACTCTTCAATAAAGTAAAAAAAAAAAATTTCTACAGAAATCATGCCCAAGTTCAAACAACGAAGAAGGAAGCTAAAAGCCAAAGCCAAAAGATTATTTAAAAAAAAAGAAGTATCTCGTCTCCAAGCCAAGCTAATTATACCTCCTCCTCCTCCTCCACCACCCTCACCTGAAAGGTAAGGCATAATGTGGAACACAGAAAATACTAGAGAGTGCTGATCAGTTTAGGTTAGAGGTACCAGATTTGGCAAATAAACATACAGAACATCCAGCTAAATCTACATTTCAGATAAACACTGAATAACTTTTTAGTGTAAGTATGCCCCGTGCAACATTTGTGATATACTTGTATACTGAACTTCTTCATCTTTTATTGGAAATTAAATTTATTAATTGGGCATCCTGAATTTTATGTGGCAGCCATAGTTCAAATGAAGTGAAAATGACAAAGCATTAAGAATGTTCAGATGGCTCGGCGCCTAT